GCCGTCAACTTTCATATATCATACTGGATACGTTAACCTAAAAACATTCGCCGTCAACTTTCATATATCATACTGGATACGTTAACCTAAAAACATCCACCGTTAACTTTCATATATCATACTGGATACGTTAACCTAAAACATTCACTGTTAACTTTCATATATCATACTGTACACGTTAACCTAAAACATCCACCGTCAACTTTCATATATCATACTGGACACGTTAACCTAAAAATGTTTACCGTTAACTTTCATATATCATACTGGATACGTTAACCTAAAAACGTTTACCGTCAACTTTCATATATCATACTGGACACGTTAACCTAAAAACGTTTACCGTCAACTTTCATATACCTTATTGCTTCGTTCTGGAGAAGTCAAACCTGAAAATATTCATTATCAACTTTCTGACATCATACTGCTTGGTACTGGGTATGTCAGACCAAAAAAAGAACCTACTATCAGCTTCCTGATATCATATTGCTCGATATATCAGACTGAAAACACCCACTATCAAATCCCTCATACAGTGCATAGGTAAATCAGACAAACAAAAATTTAAAATCAACATTATGATATTTCTGTTTGAAAAACAGGCCTAAAATGAAACTTGAACAATTTTTAGAAGTTAATGACTTACATAACAATCTTATACTTACACTTATGGTTTACTACCATCTTTGTAACGTTACCCTAGCATAAGTTCAAGCTTCTTGCGAGAAATGATTTACAAGATATCAGTTGTTTTCTGTACAGCACAGTAACAGTTAATTTTAATTTCACTGAAGTGATTTGGTGTTGTTGGATTATTATATTAACAAGAAGAGGATAAATGTAACAGTAGCATATCTTAGAGTATCCTTAGCACGTGGTCTAACTGCAGCATTATGAACGTGCTAAGGATACTCTAAGATATGCTACTGTTGTGGTCTAACTGCAGCATTATGAATGTGCTAAGGATACTCTAAGATATGCTACTGTTGTGGTCTAACTGCAGCATTATGAATATATGTATCTTCACAAATACAGATTATTCTGAAAAAATTTTCTACGCCATTTTTTTCTTGTAGATACAAAAATGTTAACAGCTACATGGTCTTTATTCTGTAGACTTGTTTTATATTTAAGGTCTAATCACATTACGGAACAACCAACAGCTATGACTCCATAATGTTTAACTTTCTTATACACAACCTTCTGGTATCTTATACTTTCTTTGATTTGAGATCAATTTCACACTGTTTGAAAGCTATAGTTTTACAACAGTGTTTCTTGTTCACTCACAGTATTGCTATGTTTTAAACTACTGACCACCTAACTTTCGTTCATATAACTATCTGAATAAGATTATTATTCGACACTCTTTGATAACCAAATTTTGTTAAATACAACTTATAGAAGTGCTTCTTTACAACCAGGTCAAATGTCCAAAAGGTTCAACTCACGTTTAATAAAACAAAATTTCTCGTCTGTATTATTTTAAGTGTACAAGTTATTTGGAAGATAGTAGTTACACAGAGCGCTATCGTCACAACAGTGTTCCACCTTGATCACCAAATATACTACAGGCGAACGCCGTTTCCTGCTGCTTTCCCGTGATTGTAAAGATAGCCAACCAACAACAACGCCTCTCTATTTTGTCTGCATCAAACACTGATCACATAGGCTGAAATCTAATAGCTCAATTGTTCATCCCACCCCACTACCCAAAAGAAAAGAAAAAACTTCAAAGTGTTATTACCCATCATTTCTCGCTACTTGTGCACGAGCGAAGGGATGCTTGGGTGATATACAACTCCATTATTACCCACCACGCGTTTCTTAGAAACATTTAAAAGGAGATCAGCCAGCGTTCATAGATCTGAGCAACGGCTGAAAATGACACGTGGTCTAGAAGCCTACGGCTGAAAATGACACTTGATCTAGTAGCATACCTTTTTACAGGATAAAGAAAATATATTAATAAAAAACAACACAATCAACGCAGATAAATCTGCCGATCCACCGAAGGCTAGAGAAATCACCATTAATCTTTGTTAAGTCAACCTTACAGGGAAGACGTCTTAAGTATATACTGAGCAAAATATGGGAACTTTCTTGCCGTTAGAAAGAAAACAGTGAATTTAGACAGCTGTAACATAAAACTTTTCATATCGTTCCCAATAAAACTATAC